GATATTTTTTTTGTAAAAAAATATAAAATTGGATCTTTTTTTAAACATATTATTAAAAATGAATAAATTAAAATTTTAAATTTCTCCTAATGACAATTTTAGAAATTCTAAAATCTATTACTTTTACAATAGTATGCCAAATAATCTAATTTATATTTTTTGTTTTGATTATATTTTTAAAAATATGAACAAGCTTTAGATTATGATTTAGAATATGCATGTCATAAAAGCAACACATTTCTTTTGCAATTTGATGTACAATATCAATCAAAATAAATAAAAGATACATGCAATAATTTATCATCACTTTTATTAGTTTTTATTCAATTTTTTTTTTCAATAAAACTTTAAATGTTCCGAAATAGATTCAAGAATATTTTTAAATATCTTATATATTCTAATAAAGACTTAAGTTTCTTTTTAGGATATTTTATTAATATTTTAAAATAATTATTACATTATTCTATAATATTTGAAGATATTAAGATAAAAAATATGTAAATAGCTCCAAATCATAATTATATATGTTGTTAAATTAATTTCAAAAGATATGTCATAATAATTAGTAATAAATAATTCTGCCATTACTTTAATTCCACTCTTTGAACCTATGTCAAATTTGATGCTTACTAGTTTTTACTTCAATTTATTTATTTTTAATTAATTTAGTTAATTTATTCTTCTATTATTAATTCCAATCTTTTTTTCTTTATAATTTTATAATATTATTTAGAAATTTCAAAATTAATTTTTAATTCCTTTAAGATTTATAGTTTTTGTCCTATATATATATATATATATATATATATATATATGTTATCTTTTTTATATAAAATTGGTCATAATAATAGTAAGCACATTTTAAAAAAATATTATTTGATATATTATTAATTATTTTTATTTTTATCATATTTTTATTAATTATAGCATATTATTAATCTAATATTTTATTATAGACTTAATATTTTAATACAGACTTAAGTTACTTTGAGCTTATTTGTCACAATCTAATATAGCATATCTTTAATCTAATATTTTATTAATTATAGCATATCTTTAATCATATCAATAAGATTGTGACAAATAAGCTCAAAATAAGTTAGAAGTAATTAGGAATAAACTAAATTCAATCTAAATTTACATAATTTTAATTTTTATGAGTATTGTAAATTCTTATAGACTAAGATGTATAAGTAGACAATTCCTATTGAAAAATGTATTGTAAAAATAATGGTGAAGTTAGTTTGGCCAAAAAAGAATTTCTAAGGCTTATTTAATGGTCAGTAGTCTTGATCTTAGACTTTGTTCCTTAAATCAATGAGGGCTGTGGACCTTAATTTGGACTCTTTTGGTTTCAAGGGTGGAGATGTAGCTACCACCTTTAGATTTTTGGACAAGATTATAAGAGGTCTCAAGGATTTATTTGGTTGGAATCTCTTCTTTTTTGTTGGTAGGCAAAGTCATGTCAATTTTTTATTAATTTTTATGAATGGCTTTGATTTTTTGATTTTTTCTTTTAGTTTTTTGAATAATTTTTTAAAAAAATTAGATGAAGGTAGTACTTTCTCTTGCATGAAATTAAAAATAAAACTACTAAAATTTAAAGATTATTTTAGTTTAGTAAAGCTAGTAAACTAATAGAAAGCCAATAAAGTCAAGTTTCTAAAAAGCTAAGTAATAATCACATTGGAGCTAAGATGTAAAAGTTTTGATTATTATGGAAGAAAATCTATTGCCTTTAAATTTGAGTGGCCAAAGGTAGGCATAACTTCTAGAGAATAAGATCAAGAAGATTAAAGCAACCTAAGGATTCAGTTTTTAAGAAATTATGTAATTTGAAGTGAAAATTTAATAAAATTAATTTTATTAAAAAAAAAAATCAAGTATCAAGTTGTGGTACTTAATTTTGTAGAAGAGTAACTATTGCCTTGTTGAATTAGAGCATCAACTTTAAGACGCAATATTGGAGGCATATAATCAATTTTGAAGATATAATTAATAGAATATACGTTTTTTTAATTCTTCTTACGAACAAAACTAATTGGATTCAATTTGGAGCTTAAGATCATCTAAAATATAATAATTTGTGAAAATAGATGCAATAATAGGTTTAGAAGTGCCAAATCTCTTTAATTCTTATTTAGATGATGTTTTTAATTTATTAGTGAATTACTATGGATGAATCTTAGATGGAAATTTAGAAACAATGAAAAGACCAATTTTGATTAATAATCAAATCAGTATATGAATTTTTGAGATAGATATAATATCTGGATGAAATTGTCAATTTAAATGTGATATTTTACATGAATAAAAAATTAAAATGACCTCTAGTACATGTATTAGATGAGTGTTGATTGGATGGATTTATGAATCTTAATTAATTAACATATTAATAACTTAAATTAGGCTATGATGCATAATAATAAATTTATACAAATTAATTAAATTAATTTGTGTTTAGAAGTTTTAAAACATTTAATTGTATACATTTAATTCTTTTGATAATAATCTATTTATATTATCTATTAATATAAGAATAATAATCCTCATATAAATATGTTTGTCATATATATATATATATATCTACATAAATTAAATTAAGAATGATTGTAATCAAACTTTATTTCTTTTAAAATTCAAAAAGAATTAAATTTATTATAACCATTTGATTTATTTATTCATTTCAAATTCTTAATAATAATAAAAATTAGTCTTTTCAAATTTTACTAAAAATTATTTTATTTATTTAATTATATAATATTTTTTAAAGAATAAAAATAGTCAAGATAAAAAACATGTCATTAGAATGTAAAAAATTAAAATAAACCTACTATAACAATAAAAATAAATGAAAGACAATCAAAATCAAAAATAAAATAATCAATGAAAGATTTATTATTTAAAATTTTTAAAAAACTAATAAAATATTTTAAGTCTACTACTAAATCTGTAGATTGTGATTAAAAATAGGATAGTTAAAGAAAACATAATTTTTTTTTATTTTTGTGATATCATTCCAAAATTTTTAATATTTACTACTTAGAAAACTTCTAAAATAATTTGATTATACGATTGGGGGTTAAGATCCTAAAATAAAGAGGATAGTAAACTCAAAACTTGCAAGAAATATCTTTGAAAAACTGATTTTAAAAAAATAATATTAATGTGTTCTAATTTCAAATCTAATAACTAGTAGAAAATTATTGTATTATATGTTGTCTTATTTGAAAATGCACCAAGCACTTTGTTTAGAAGTTAAATTTTAATCAAATCCTAAAAAAAATCTTTAAAAAGCTCCAAAAGAATCATATAGAAATTCTAAAGAACCTTAAAGAAATCTTCAAAAAAAAAAAAAAAAAAAAAAAAAACTTTGAAGAAGTAATAAGAAATCTTAGATATTTCTTTAGTAAATTCTAAAAAATTCTAATCAAATCCTAAGTAAAGGTTGATCAAATCCTAGCTAATCTTAATTAAACCTTCGAGGAATTTTAAAACCTCAATAATTATTAATTGAACTATTGGTCTTACTTAAAATTTGCATACATTCCAATCTACTAGTTTATAACAAACACACAAAATTTAAAGAGAATAAAACTTAAAGATTGGAATAGAAAGCTCCTAATCTGCTTAGGTGTTGGTTGTCATCCTTTTCTAACCTTGATGTCAATCTACCAATAATAATAGCTCCATATTGCAGCATTCACTTACCTTCAAAATTTGCAAAAATGTTGCAAACTAGGTTTATTGCCAATCCATAAGAAAAAAAAAAAAAAAAAAAAAAAAAAATCAATCCAACTAACAAATTGTTCAAAAGTATAGAAACCTTCATTAATTCTTAATATCCAATTTTAATAACCTTTGATTTGACAATTTGTTTAACTTCAAATTCACAAAACACATTTTCATAAGTAGTTTCACAACTCTACAAATTGTCAACTATTGATTTACTACAATGCTCACAAAATTCTATAAAGTATAAACTCTTTTTTATTTCCCAAATTTCTAAATCACCTAAAACAACCCTAACTTTGCAAACCTCTCACAAAGTTAATATCCACCAAAATCACTTAAAATCAATGCTCTAATAAATCTTATAAACTTTGCTCCTCAATCTTTTTCTTTGATTGACCAAAGAACCCCACAATTGCTATAGGTGCATAGTTTTGTGTCACTTAAAAAAATGAAGAAAAATTAAAGATTAATAGTGGAGTGATTTCAACAACATTTGATAGTTAGAAAAGAAGTACAAATGACAAAGTGTGAACAAAATGTGTGTATAAAATACATGTGTATATATATAGTTTGATATTTGATATAAGAAAAAATATTTTGGTAATTTCTAAGTTAAGTAATTAATACATTTCTTTAAGAGATTCTTTTATCAAAATTATCTTCTTGCAAAACATTATGTAAAAAAAACATTACATTTCAATAATTTACTTTATTTGGGTAATTTAATGTTTTATTTTACTTTATCTCAATATTTTTGAGTTCTATTCTTTTTTTAACAAGCTATATCAATTCTTCTAGTACAAGAAAATTTAGAAATGTTTTAAAATTTTACCATAATAAGAATACATTTTTTAGTCTAAAGTAAACACAATTTCATTGACAACTCACAAATACCCACAAATTAATAATTCACAGTTGTTCAGAAGGTGAAATTGGTGGGTGGGAAAAAGATGAAGAAGGAGAAGAAGAAAAAAATTTAAAAGGTTAAAAAGATGGATTATTTATGTCTGTCTCATGTAGTCAGATTACAACATCTTCAGAACTAAATGGTGCTAATCTCGGCCTGCCGTTAGGGTTCAAGGAGCCGATAGGTGCCGCTGTCGCGCGGCATCGCTGGGGGGTTGAATGTTTCAACGAGGCGTGCATGCACTCGAATTTTGGTAACGGTTTCGAACCCAAGATCGGAGTGGATTGTGCGTAATCCCTGGACAGGAAAGATCCCCCAGCAATGGTCACGCATTTGTCGTGTGTGCTGCTTATCTGTGGGAACTTCTTCCGAGATACTTGACGTGCCTTCACAATTCCTAAAGCAGCATGGTGTCGCTAATCGCCACGAGCTCTGATTCGCGTGGCCTCAGCGCGAGGTGTTAAAAGCTGATAGTCTTTTGACGGTTTGCTGTGTGTGACATGAGGAATGATTGATGGGTTCTAGCCTCGAGCTCGGTGCACAACCCTTCCCCAGACGTTGCCTAGGAATCCAGGTCTGAGTGCACTCGTTTTTCTGTTGAGATTATGCACACTGGAATCGCTGCGCATGTGCTCTTTTCGATAGTTATGCTTAACCCGTAGGTTGCCCAATTGGCAATTTCTCTTCAGCTTCGCTCTTTTGTTTTTCTTTTGCAATTCGTGGAATGGCAAGCACTTCCATCGTGGCTGGTACTGCGAGCACTTACCATCATGAGTGCTCCCTTGTACATTCTTCTCCCCGATTCCAAAGGCAGGGTAGATTACTTCGGTTTGGGAGCTGCTTCCAAATTATTCACACACGTGGTGTTACAAGATTCTTGACGAAGGCATCCGAATTGGGTACAAGTCTGAGTTCTCTGGCAGCTGTGGAGTTGTCACCTTCATTTCGGCAGTCGTGGTGGTTCCATCCTTTGCCTTGCAGATGCCAGACTAGGTCGTTCGATCATTCGTTTGCTAGGAATCTTAGAATACGAGCTACAGGTGTAAGGGATGCGACACCAGATACCGCGACGAATGATGCCATCTTGGACAATGTATTAGGTCTTGTAGGTAATACACCAATGGTTTATCTGAACAGGGTTTCCTCCAATTGTTGTGCCAAAATTGCTTGCAAATTGGAGGCTCTTGGGCCCTGTAGGAGTGTGAAAGATCGAATCGCGTTGGCCATGGTTGAAGACGCAGAGAGACGGGGTTTAATCAAGCCTGGAGTCAGTACATTGATAGAACCAACGAGTGGGAATACGGGCATTGGCCTTGCTTTTGTCTGTGCGTCCAAAGGCTACAAGCTTATCCTTACGATGCCGGAGGATCAGAGCATGGAGCGTCGCATCCTCGTGCAAGCATTCGGAGGCCAGGTAAACCATTCCGTCATATATCCTTCTGCTTGTCCACTTTATTCTAGAAATTTACTTGGTGGCTTTCATGATCGCGTTGTGTCTTTCCCATCTATCCTATTTGATCTCTCCCACGACTTACTGGGACTACAGGTTGTGACGACACCAGCTAAGAGCTCAATGACAGGCGCTATACTGAAAGCTGAAGCGTTATGCAGAGAGATTCCCAATGCTTACATCCTTCAGCAATTTAGGAATCCAGCCAATCCTCGTGTGCATTTTGAAACAACAGGACCAGAAATTTGGCGAGACACGTGTGGCAAGGTAGAACATTAGTTCTCCAACTGCAGCTTGAATCGATTGTTAGATTCTCGGCGTTGTCTCACTCAATGCAGTCAACTCCAATCCATAATCATTTCATTGTTGGTTGTTGATGAATGGCTTGAATGTCTGATTGCAGGTAGACTTCCTTATTTCCGGGGTGGGTACAGGTGGCACTATCACTGGTTGCGGAGAGTATCTTAAAAGTAAAAACGACCAGATCAAGATCGTTGGAGTAGAGCCTGCGGAGTCTGCTGTTCTTTCAGGTACTTAATCTATTAGAATCCCAAAGCCGAAACTGGCTGCAAATGTTGACGTGGACAGATTGATGAAATTGGCTGGGGCATCACGGTGCAGGTGGGCAACCCGGGTACCACCAAATCCAAGGAATCGGTGCAGGTTTCATTCCTGCAGTCCTTAATGTCAACATTCTTGATGAAGTTTTTGAGGTGAGGGCTTAAATTAATTAGTGCGGACTTTGTCTCACCAAAGGTCATGAAGGAGGTATCACTATGGTTTATTAACCGTGTTTTTTGGCAGGTGCTTAGCCGAGACGCAATCCTCATGGCGAGGAGGCTACATCTTGAGGAGGGTCTGATGGTGGGTATCTCATCGGGCGCTGCTGCTTTTGCTTCAGTTCAAATCGGCCAACGACCTGAAAACGAGGGCAAGCTTTTAGTGGTGATCTATCTTCACCATTACAGTACTCACCTTGGACTCTAGCTATGCTCAGCTTTTGAGAAATACAATACGAGGAATAAGATGCTAGAGGTTAATATAGATAAGGATTGTTTTTTGAAAGCTTCACTTATTTACTCCTTTTTGCAGTGCGTGCTGCCAAGTTTTGGAGAACGTTACCTATCAACGCCTCTCTTTCAGCATATTCGGAAGGCTAACATGGAGGATGATAAAACATTCAACACAGCTTGCCTGCTGAAGACAACATGAGTATGCTGGTGAAGTTGTGCACGAGTTGAAATAGTAAGAGAGCTGGGAACGAGCTACTGTCTTGAAAATCTCGAGATCAGCCTTGTCTCAAGTTGCTTTCATCTCTTATTGCAGAGAAACCGCTCATGTCCAGATCATGACACGCTTGTATGATATGTTCATATGATTGATACCTAGATCTTCCAATTTGCATGGCATAGGTGCTGCTGGACGTGAGGAACGGGGTTGTCATGGTGCTATCCTCCTGAATAGATTTTCGTGAATTCAAAGAAAGGTAGTGGAAGCATAGTATGATTTATATTTACAAAGGTTTGATTTGAGAAACAAATTTGATCTCTTAAAATCAGAATGCATCAAATGTGATCGCAACATGAATAATTCCAGTTCTAATCTTTATTATTACTATCTTGTGAAAGAGGTATTGATAACTACTATTTATTTCAAGCTATATATATTTTAAATTTTAAATATATATTTAAATTTATTTTTTGTATTTGCTTGCATATTCTATTAAGTCAATAATTCTAGTTGACACTACTTTTTTTCATTAGGTTTTTTTTAAGTATGTTAATAAATCCACTTCAATGTTAATTAGAACCTTCATTATGATTATAATAATTTGATTTCAAAGACAATTGTTTTTGTATTAAAAGAGAGTTATATATTCTATAAGATCTAACACATTTACATATACTTTGAGTACAACATGATTTCCCAACAATGTCATATTTTGAATATAACAAAACTTTGGTGCTTCTTTCTAGAGACTTTTAATGGTTTTAAATGTGGAAAGTTCTCAAAGAGTTTATTCAACCTTTTGGTATTTGTTCTTAAGCAAAGACTCTACATCATTCATCATATAGACTTCTTCAACCTCTACTTATTCCAAAGAAAACTTGGCCATCAATTTTAATGGACTTTATTACATATATTTTAATCTAAATTTTTTATAAATTATATTTTTGTGATAGTGGATCATCTACTCAAAATAGCTAATTTTGTACCTTGATAAAATTATTACTAGTAAATAATTAGTTAAATTTTTCTTTAATAATATTTATTAATAACTTAAATTTTTAAGTAATATTATGTTTAATTAAAAACTTCAATTTGTATTAAGGCTTTGGAATACACTTCTTAACATGTTAAAGATGAATATCAATTTATCTTCAGCTTTTTGATTTTCAAACTAATAGATAAACAAAAAGTAAAAATTAAATATTAGAATAGTATTTGTGATTGATATTAACTATCATCAAGACAATTAGATAATTATTTTGCCATCAATATAGTTTTCAAATAATAATATGGTATAATTTTGTATTCAATGGACTTCATCATCCTTAATTTGATATTTTCCTCTTTTCAAAAATTAAAACTTAAGGAATCAAGGATTTTATAAGTAGAATAGTAGAGTTTTACATAATAATGAAGATATACCTAAAAGAAGATCCAAAGCAAAAAAAGATTAATGTGTAAATCTTTAGAAAGAACAACATGCATTCAAAGTTTGTAATAAGACATATTTTTTTATAATATCATTACTAATTAATCTTATAATAAATTAGATTAACAAAGGTATGACACATTTAAAGAAATTGAAAAAAAAAAAAAAAAAAAATTCAATTACAAATAATATAGTGAATAAAGATTTATCTTATAATCTACATATTTCTTATCAAGTTTTATTCTAAAATTATCAAATTGGAAAGAAAAAAAATACCTCCATCTTCTATCAAAACAGATTTTTAAAAAATATCAAAAAATCAAAAATAAAAAAAAATCATAGATTCAAAGGAGCAATGAAACAAATTAGGATATCTTGCACATTTGCACACATTTAATATCAATGAATGTATTTGGGAGCCATAAGAAAATCTTGCAAATATGTTAAAACTTGCTTTTAATTTTATTTATAATATATATCAAAATCAAGAAATAACTATTGAAAATAATATTATATAAAATATATAACAATAATAATAATAAACTTAAGGTTTGAAGATAAGAACTACTTAACAGAATTAAGAATTAACAACCAAAAAAATTATTTCAAAATTTTCCTTTTACAAAATTGGAGTATTTAGATTGTCTTAACCTCTATAATATTAAAATTACTATACATGTTTTTAAGACAAGTATATATTTTTTTAAATAGATGATAAAATATAATATATATTATATTATAATCTTAAAAGATATTCTTAATGCTTAGTGATACTATAGGAAGTAGATTCAATATTTGATGGCATTCATACTATGGTATTAGAAGGTGATTATTAAGGCCTCAATAATGATCCAATAATTGAGTGAATTTGTTGTCTACAAATGAGATATTATGATGGCTAAAAGAACTTATCAACCATCTTTGTATAGAATATATATCAAACTATGTTGCTAATATCATTTGATAGATCTTAGACTTAATCAACTTATGAAAAAACTTAAAACTTCCTTATAAATTTTTCTAGATTTTTAAGTAAATAGAAGAAAATAAAAGTAAAAGTGAGTAGAATATATTAGGTAGATAATAACTTCTTTAAGAAACTTTTAGAAAGTTTTTATATGTAAAATAGATTATAGATTCCTATATATATGAAATATATCTATCAAAACTTAATTTGAAATTTTTTATTTTTAAAAAGTTGTATTGAAAGTAGCCTATAATTTGAAAATTTGGCCATAAGTCTTATAGTCCTTAGAAGATTTTACAAAGCCTTTTTAATAATTAGTATATATTGAGATAAGAATGAGGCTACTTTCAATCTTGTCAATGTCTTTTGTTAATTCTAATCTTAATTCAAGTCCATTTAGTCTTTTTGTAATTAGCAATAGCCATTCTAATTTATTATTATTATTATTATAATATATTCATATTTTTTATTTATTTTCTTTTTTCTAGAATAAAACATGAATGTATTGAATTTTAAATTTTTTCAAGACATATATCCATTACACTTTTTTCAATAAGAATGTCTAATTCTTAGCTTATAAATTTTATTGATGTAATCCTTGATATATTAAAAATAAAAAAATAAAAAATAAAGTAATATATCAAAAATCTTCTGCTTAAATTTATCTTGTTATTATTTATATTGGTCTAAAATTTTATTTAAACCTCTACTTAAATAAGAGCTTCATACTACATGAATGGCAAAAGAATCCTTATTTTTGTTTCTTTTACAAATGCTTTAGCTTCTACAAATATAAATTAGATTTTTTTAGATATAATATTTAAAAAAAAAATACAACGAAAAAAATCAAGACTATGAGATATTCAATCCATTTTAGGATTATACTTTTTTAACCAAGATAATTTAAAAAATTATAGGATTGCTTAGAGATTTTATAATATTAAATATTATTAGACTTTTGTGAACTTTTACATATACTTCTACTAAAAAAATGTAAGAATGATGTCTCTTAAAGATAAGAGTTGTCCATATATGACTTTTACATATTTATGTTTGATTTTTGTACTAAAAACATTCCATGATACTTAGAAAAGATTTCATCAAGAAAACAAGCAATTGCATTAAATATCAAAGATAATATATTCATGTGTCAATAAAAAAGAAAAAAATATAAAGAAAAAAAAGATAGTTATAAAATAAAAAAGAACTAAAATAGCTATTACCAAATACAAAGTAATTAAAGAATCTTAAACTAAGACTATTTATTGATATTTTCTAAAAAAAAATAGTTTTTTATATAAAATTTATTTTAAATTCATATTAGATGTATTTGAATATATTATATAAGAAAAAATATATCTAATTTTATTATTTTTTGATGAATAATAATATATATTATATATATTTTATAAATTTATTTATTTTATACCATATATAAAAATATAATATTTAGCAAAAATATATATTTTCAAGAAATTTAAAATTTAAAATTAATTTTTTTTAAAATTTTAATATTTAATAATTATATTTATCAAAGAATTTGTATTAATTATTGAAGAAAGATAATTTTGAAGTTATAACATATAGCATCAGCAAGGTTGTACACAAAGAGAATATAGAATATGATGACTCTCACTTCTAATACTTTTTATTTATAGATAGTAATTTCTACTTTTAACAATAACTTCTATTCTTTTATTTTTACATCTATCTAAGAATTTATCAAGTATATTCCTTGATATCTCATCAACTACAAAGATATGTCTTTATCATATTTTTTTTTACTATTAGGATTCTTTGCCAACTTATCTACGTCAAGGATATTCAATAGCATATACTTTATATTTTTATCTAATCTTTGGATATTCTTTAGTTGATTTTTTATTCTCTTGACTTGAACTTTTGGTTCTTGATATTATTTCTTTTTCATAGGATATCTTTCATATATCAAGAATCAATCCTTTGACTAGTAGTAATTTATCTAAGATAATATATTCTACAAGTTAATTTATTTTATTTTTACTTTTATTTATTTACTTCAATATTCTCACTTTACTATTTGTTAAAGGTTTTCAATTCTAATGTCTTTGTCAACATATGATATTTATCCTTTATTAATTTCTTTATCAATAAATTAATAAGCATGTCTTTTATTACATAATACTTCAAATTATTACTCTCATTTTAATCTTTTGACTTTTGAAGTAATGTTGAATGTCAATGTATTTAGTCCTTGAATGATGCTTTGGATTCTTTACAAAAGTAAGACATCTTTGATTGTTATACTTCATTGAAGTTGCTTTTAATTGTATTAGTTCAATATTCTCTACAATTACTTTTGCTATATTGCCTCTATTGCACCATAGCTTACTGCCATGTATGCCTCTATTATAGGCCTTGTAATTACTGATTGTTTCTTGCAATTCTATAAAATAGCTCCTATTTCAACAAAAAAAAATACAAATTTGATTGTTGATCTTTTATTATTAGTATCTCTAGCTCAATTTGTATCATAATAATCATGCAAAGTTGTGTTATCACCTTAAAGATACAATTTGAAGTACAAAATATCTTTTAAATACCTCAAAATCTTTTTGATGGTTGTCCCATGGATTGATCTAGCATTTAACATATATCAACTTATAACACTCATTGCATATGTAAGATCCATCTGTATATCTACCATTACATATATAAATGAGCCTATTATTGGTTTATATAGAATATCTTGTATTTCACCTTCAACTTCAAGAAATTCTTCATCCATAAGCTTCATCAACTTCAAATTCGCCTCCAAAGGTATTCTAATCGACTTACACATTTTCATATTGAATCATTTCAATACCTCTTTAATATACTTATTTTAGCTTATTATAATGGTCTTTTTTAATATTATCTTTCACAAACTCTATTCTTCAACAATAATAAAGCTCTTTCAAATCATTCATCTTATATTCTTTCTTTAATATTTCTTTAAATTAATCCATCATC